ATTTTTAAAGAATTTTTAAAAAATTATTATAAGAAATTTTTTGAAACTTAATTTTAAAATTAAATTATTTTAAAAACTTTTTAAAAACTTAAAATCTTTTTTAATAAAGTTGATAAAAAATATATTAAACTATATTTTTTATATAGTAATGATATTACTAAAATTAATATTTAATATCTTATAAAGAAATTATCACTATTTTTAATTTTACAGGCAAATTTGTCTGCTATACAATCTAAGGAATAATATTATAATTACTTAATATAAGTGTAAAAATTATTATATATTAATATAATAGTTAAATTTTAGAAAAAAATTTGAAATATAAGAAGAGTTAATACTTTTATATAAGTAAATATTATATAATTATTTCTAAAAAAATAAATTTTAAAATTAAAGGATTTAAAAAAAATTATAGATAAAAAAAATATAAATAAAAAAAAAAATATAAAATAAATAACATATAAGAAGTTTGCTAGAAAAATAAGATTCTAAAAATTTTTTAATTAAAATTTCTTACTTATTATATTTTATTCTAATATACTCAAAAATCAAATGCAATAAAAATTTAAATTTCAAAATCTATTTTAGCAAACTTTCTATTATTAAAAAAAATATTAAAAAAAATAAAATAAAATAAAATAAAAATTTAAAATAAAAATTTAAAATAATAAGAAAAATAATATAATATTAGAAATAAAAAAATAATAATTAAAAATAAAATCAAAGATCAAAAATATATATAAAGATTTAATAAATATATATTTTAAAAAAAAAATTTTAAATGTTTAAAAGATTTTTATATTATTTTATAAAAAAAAATTAAAGAAAATTGTATAATAGTAATTATAATTTGTAATTATATAAAAATTATATATATTTTAGTCACTGGAGGTTATTTGATATAATTATATCAAATAACCTCCAGCGACTTGAGTTAGGTTATAACGGCGATGATACAATCTAATGGTGGTGATATAATCTAATAGTTATGATAGTGTTTATGTAATCTAATGGTGGTGATATAATCTGATGATGATGATATAATCTAATAGTGATGGTATGATCTAATGTCATGATCTAGTGGTGGCGTCATAACCTGATGGTGATGTCATAACCTAATATCATAATCTAATGTGATCCAATAACCTTTATTTTAGTTATTTTTACGGCTTTCTAACTACTATTTTAATTAATTCCTACTATATAATATTATGATAGACCGGTGGTGACATGATCTATTAGTGTGGTTATTATATAATCTAATGGTGGTCTTATAATCTGATGGAAAGAATTTTTCTGCTTATCTACGACCTTTCTTTCATCAAGGAACTATTTATGTATTTACATTACTCTACATTCTTTTTATTCCTAAAGAGCTATCCATTTATCTACTTGCTTCTGGGCCTGTTTGGTGGCCTGTTAAGATATCGAAGGTTCTTCTTTTTTATGCCTTTTTGGTTGCTTTTTAAAATACTGAAATGGTATAAAAAAGAAGCGATAGTGACGCGATGGATTTGTGATTAATTTCAGCTGACATTATGCCATAATTCTAGCTGATCTTTAGAGTACATGATTTGAGGATCCAGCTTGGCGTCATGATGATGACTTGATAGTATCCTGGAACTACTGTGAAGCTGTTATGGAATTGTTGAGAAACTGGCAGGAAGCCAGAGAGGTTCTATTAGTTTGCCAGTTTTATGTCAGCTTGGGTGATGAATTATTACGCCTAAAATTCCAGATGAAATTATGGAATAGTGTTGGCTCACATTAAGCGAATAAGTCTTACGCGAAGACTATACTGTAGCTGAATACATATCAAGAAAGATGAAGCCTTCTCCCATTTTTATATAATATAATTACGAAGAAGACTTCATACCACATCTAAGTACATACTAGTAATAGGGTAACCTTCTTCCATTATTTTATATAAAGATTCTGAAGAAGGCTACCCCTTGATTTATACTATCTGCTAGGGTATTCTTTTTCCATCTTGCTATATGCCTGTTTTGCATATATCGAGACATAGAATTTGCGCAAAGAAGCCTTCACCATACTCAAGTATATCTAGAAAAGTGTAACCTTCTCCCATTTTTATATATTATAATTACGGAGAAGGCTACACCTTTTCAGATACAGCTAGATATCTTTATTCTATAATTTGCTCACTAAGTTCATCATAACTTCTGCAGATAATTTGTCAGGTGGTACGTACATATTAGTATTAGGGTATTTTTCTTTCAATATTTTATATAATAAATACGGAGAAAAATACACTAGATTATATCTATCAAGAAAGCATTTATTCTTGATTCTTTGCCAACTGTGCTATACGCCTCTTTTTTTCAACCATTGAAAAAAAATAAATTAATCATTTCTGATTTTATAGTCAAACTGACAACATGTATACCCCAACTATTTTTGATCAAACTGATCGCATTGGATCTGGCCCAATGCTCGCCCGCTATGACAGTGCCGAGTCTTTAGCTGGTAGCCTATTACGTAATGATATTATGGCAGAATTCGATAATAAGATGACCACTATACTTCAACAAAGCCTATCCAGCAAGCAACCCATACATTTCATACCTACTGCTATAAGTGATGAGGCTGAATACATTAATGGAGTATTCACCTATATTTTGCATATTAGTGGTTTTTTGATTAATGAGCGAAAGGCTATTGTGAATATTATGGGCATTAAACCTTTCTTTGATGTCGTAGTACCTGTAGAGATATCATTACCTACATTTAAGACCAGATTAGTAAATATACTGTCTAATATCCTCAAAGGCACATTGAAATTCGTGATTAAGCATATTAGCACTTTTCTACTTTAAGGGTATTATACAGAAAAGAAACCATATATACGTGTTACTACTTGGAATCATTTTGATCGATTTAAGGCATTAAAATAGTTCATGAAGTTGGTATTAGTACTACTTCTGATAACCTAAATTCTACATACTATTATTGCAAAGTAACCTGTGAGAAAAGATTACCTCTTTCAAGCTGGGTGGTACTAAGTAACTATTCATACAAAGGAAATTTATTGGCAAATGTTTATTCCTTCCAAGTATATGTGAACAATTACAATTCAATCAGTGAAGACGATTATAATAATCCATTATTTTCCTCAGCACTTTCACAGGATCATACTCTTATTCTCACATGAAATATCGAAACATATAGCTTACAAAAAATAGGTGATATACTTAATGCAAAATACGAAGAAGATATTGTGTTCATGATTTGTATGACAGTTCATTGGAAAGACGATCCTGAACTGTTAAAGCAAATCTGTCTTATTGACGTTGAAACTGCACCAGATTCACGGTTGATTACGATTATATGCGGATCTCAAGTTAATTTATTAAAAGCATTCGCCTTATGCTGTATACTTTTAGCCCCAGATATACAAATAGGCTTTAACGATTCTTAATATGATTGGCGATTTATTGTGGAGAAAGCTAAGAAGTTGGGAGTTCTTGAATGGATGTTTAATCATATGTCAATCAAACCATCTGGTATTGAGAAAATTTTAAAATGGCAATATCAATATAATACGATAAAGGTTAATGATAGACAATTTCATTCAAAGCATCATAAAATTCTGGGATGTGTAGCTATTGACGTTCAGCCTTGTTTTATGGGATTTCATCCCAAAGCTGAAAAGAATAGCCTGGCATTTTACTTAAATGAATCTGGGCTCGAAAGTAAATTGGATATGCCTATTCACCATATGAACAAATATATGAAAAGGCATTAAATGAAACAAATGCTACAATGGCTGAGCAGATACGCGAAGTAGCCAAATATTATATTATTAATGCTATTAGCTGTTAGCAGTTAATGATAAAGCGTAATGCAATTAACGAATACAAGGAGGTAGCATCTGTAGCCTTTATATCATTATATGATTCACATTTGCAGTAGGAATGAAAGTGCGTAATCTTTTAAGTGCCGGTGCATAGTGGAAAGGGATTTTAACTAGCACAATTTCATGTAAACAAATGGAAACAGGGAAGTTTCCTGGGACCTATGTTTTCCCACTGGTAAAGGGTCTCAAAAATAAACGCTCTGTGACTGGCTTAGATTTTGCATTATTGTATCTATGCCTTATCATAACATACAATCTCTCACCTGATAAAATCATTTTATCTCGAAAGCATGCTAAATCTCTAAAGGAAAGTAGTAAAAAGCTTCATGAAATTAATTTCAAATTCAATAGTCACGATGTTCTCGCATGATCTATAGAGCATAGAAACCAAGCTGAAATGAAAGGCCTTTATTCAAAAGTATTAGAGGAGTTACGTATTAAACGAAATTTGCTAGAAAGTCATCTTGCTCTATTAAATGATAAAAAAGAAGAATTAGAAAAGAAGATTAATTTGGTAGAAAAAAGAGGCATAGTTATTACAGATACTTTAAAATCTAAATACTCTTCAGTTGTCTTTAATATCGCTTGTCTAGACGCAAAACAGCTCGCTTTAAAAGTGTATATGAATACATTTTACGGTAAAGCTAGGAATAGTGGATTCCTTTCTTCTTGCGAGCATTAGCAGGCGGGGTAATATCAGCTGGACAGCGGAATATCAAGCTTATTGCTAATCTTGTTGGAAGTAAAAAATTCAGTGTAAAATACGGGGATACAGATTCATTATACCTTGTCTGTCCAGAAGAATGCTTTCAGAAATGTGATGAGACATATAACAATGGTAATGGGATCTTGAAAGAAGAATATTGGTCTAGAATAGTGAACATCTCTATGGAAGTAATAGAAAGACTTCGTGATGAAGTTAATGACTTTCTCAGAAATGATAATAGATCATCTTATCTCAAAATGGCATATGAGAAAGTCTTATTTCTGGTAGTATTTACAGGAAAGAAAAAATACTATGGTATTCCACATAGAAGAGAATCCAACTTTAATAATAAGCTTTTTATTTGAAGGGTTGAGATTGTAAAGCGAAGGCAGTCTAAACACTTTCGTGAGGTAGGTAAAAAGGTTATGGATGAATCTATGAAGGTGGATAATTCGCATACCTTATATTAGATTGTGAAGGACGTGCTCAAAGAGATCATAAATGATATTTTACAGATAGACCTTAATGGGATGGTTAAAACTGCTGTGTGAAAGCCTGATAAAAATAACAAGAGTATGCAGTGTTTTATTTCATGAATGTGAGATAGACATATCCATGAAAAAGCAGATGGCAAACGATGCATAAAAAAGGGCTTAACACATAAGCCTTATCTTTATGAAATCCCAGAACCAGGCGAACTCTTTGAGTATATTGTAGTTGAGAATGATTCATCACAGAGGGTAGGGGATAAAATGGAGTATTCAGAGGTAGTGAGGCGATTAGGAAAAAAAATTGATATTAGCTATTATCTGAAAACCGTTGTCGGCCTTTGTGCACAATTTATTAACTATGATAAAAGTTTCCAGCCATCATCTGAAATTGTGCTGGAAGCCTTAAAAAAGTTAAAAAATGGCAATAAAGTGGGTGATAATAAAGCAGATAATGGTGGGGAAGATGAAAGTGACGACCTGGACGAAGATGAAGAAGATAAAGACGAAATGAATGAAGATGAGATATCAAGTATAAGAGATGCTTTAGCGCAGAAATCAGCTAAAAAGTGGGTTAGAGGGTATATCAAAGAGTTACATACTGGACTGAAAAAGGTCATGCTATTATATCCTATCTATGGAAAGAGGCTAATACTTATGCGAAAAATTTATTTAATAGTACATATGCTGATAAAATAGTAAAATACTTGGGAAATGATGCTTATTGGTCTTCCTACCTTAATACATTAGACAAACAAGAGGAATCCATCTGCTTAAAGCTAATAATATTACTTGCAGAAATTTCTAAGATCAATGTTAGCTGTAGAGATGAAATGTATAAATTAGTTACTAAGGTCAGTAAGCGCAAATTGAAAGTTATGTCTTTAGAAAGATACATGTTATCATATAATCTAGAAAATTAATGTAAATTACTAGCCGATTTGTAAAACATATGGTTCAAAGTAGTTGGCCTAGAAATTACACGCTATTAAACATTATCGAAGTTACAGGATAATAAAAAAGATGATTCGTCTAAAGCAGATATAGATGAAATCATTGAACTATATTGTTAAGTACTCTTAGCGAGGTGTGGTAATTTTGGCTAAGAAAACTCATAATATTATTTACATTTTTCTCATGCAATAATACCAGCTAACTTCAATTCCTATCTTTGAACTTCTGGCTTAGGATGATCACTTCAAACTTCCAGCTTCTGATCATATAACCTGGCCTCAGAAATGTCCAGAGATGATAAAAAATAGTTCCAGTTAGAAGAATACTCAGCATTACTTTTTTTCCATGAATTTCATATTTTTTTCCTAACGATCCATATAATTGCAAGTAGTAGTAAGGTGAGTATAATATATATTAATATTGGTAACTATACATGAAGTCGAAATGAAAACCCAAAAGTCGAAATGTTTCGACTTTGGAGGTCAAAGTCGAAATGAAAAG